AAACAGGATTTATAGTCGCCACACCTTCAACTCAATAACCATTTAATGTGCTCTGATATATGGATGTAGTAGCAACAGTTATTGATTACCGACACCAAATGTGGCAAAAGCAACAAAGCAAACGAGACTGTATGGAAAAACATGAAATCCAACAGAATCGAGTTAATAGCATGACTAACTTAAGCTAAACGACAAGCAGAACGAAACTGACGGATTTGCGCTAAACGTATTAGCTAAAAGTCGAAGCGTTGCACCGTGTGACAGTGATGCAAATACATACGTATACGTAAATTTTTTTTAGATAATATTAAAACCAAAAATAAAAATATATAATATAATATAAAAAAATATAAAAATAATAAATAAAAATTGTACAATAAAATAAATAAAGAGATTAAATGAAATTAATTAAAAAATTAAAATAAAATATAAATCTGTAAAGAAAATGAATTAAAAAAATTTGAAATAGAAAATAAACTAAAATGAATAAAAAATTGAAAAATTAATTTAAATGAAATGAAATATTGCATTACAATAAATAAATTATTATTAAACTAATACTCAAAAATTAAATCTTATAAAGTAAAATAAAAAGAAAAATATAAAATAAATAAAAAAAAAATTAGAATCAGAGTAAAATATTAAATAAAAATAAAATAATGAATGAAATAAATATAGCAAAACAAAATTAGAGAAAATGGAATACATTAACACAAAGTTAAATGAAATAAAGATAAAAATTCAATAAAATAGAAAAGTTAAAATAAAATGAAATGAGATTAAAATAATATACAAAAGTGGAACAACATACAGTGGCTCACAGCCAAACTGATGCAGCTATGTAAGAGATGGTAAATAGAATAAACATATAAAATGAAATAAAATAAATAAATTAAAATAAAATAAATTATAAAACTAATTTTAAAAAATAACAAGATGTAAATTAAAAACACATAAAATTAAAAAATTAATTGAAAAATAATAATAAAAAATATATGATATACAAGAATTTCATCATAAAATATGTAAAGAAAAAAAGTTGAAATGAAATAAAAAATTTAAATAGAAATAGATAAATTAAAAAAAATAGATTAATTACAAAAGTGATTGAAGTGAAAGTGAAACAAGATAAATACTTATTTGAAAATAAAATAAAAAGATTAAAAGAAAATATGTTCAAAATTATTAAAATAAATTGAAGCATGTAGTTTTTTATATATACATATATGCGAATAGATGAAGATGTGGTGATCTTCGAAACAGCCCTCACTTCTACCATTATAAAACAAATCAGGCCTTCAGTTCGCAAAAAACTTATAGCGAAAAATGTTACAAATAAAATAAAATAATAAAAAAAAATTAAATAATTGACTAAAACTGTGTATAGTCTATTTTCTTGCTTATGACCCACTGTGCAGCAATTGATTGGCTTACTTATAACACAAATCGATTTGAATCGATACAGGTGTGTGTATGTATACAATTTTCCTAAAAAAAAAATAAAAAAAAATACATGCCTGCTCTCTTCGTCACTCCCTTACTCTCCCATATAACCAGTGTCTCGAGATCATGGTCATATAATATTCGACCACAAATAACGCGCACTAAATGATCAGCGACGCGCCTCGTTTCGCTTTTTATTGGTAACCGTTGACAGTTACACATTTTTTAAATAACCACTACTGACCATAGCAGCCAGCGAACCAGCAACCAGCTACTTTGCAATGCATGCTATGTACATACAGACGAGTACATATCTCAGTCACCGTGAATTCTCAAGTGTACGCAATTATTAATATAAATTCAATTTACAATAATAACTCAATTAGTCGCTTAGAGTAGTGTAGTAGAGTGTTGACCGACGTTCTTTCGTTTCTCGTTATTTTTGTTGTTGATAGACGAAAGAAAAAAGAAAAAAAAAGTGCTGTACTGTAGAGTATGATAAAACAATTGAGGTAACTGTAGTGTGCATGACTTGTATAAGAGATGATTGTTGTTGCTGCTCGTTTAATTTGTATTTAGTGAGTTATTTCACTTAAGCTCTGCTGTCACATTTTCACACTTCCATTCCGCAATTATTGCATTTAGTAAGCGTAAGTCGCTAATTGCTGGCGCTTCTTTGCAGCGACACTAACATAGGCAGTCGGCGCGCAAAAAGGATGCTGACAATTAAGTAATTATTATGGCACAATGATAATGGTAATTATTAACATAATAATGGCAAGATATGTCACGTATGATTAGTCAGACGAGGAGAGGGGGCAAGTGTAAGTGTTTGGTAAATGCTTCTTTTAGCAGAAAGAAATTTATTTTTTATCAGTTGATTAAATAACTTATGATGGCTCAACACTCACTCATTCCTTACACGTGTAGAGTCTTACTTTAAGCCATTTAGTGGCTTTTAGAGAAGGTTTTGACTTACGAATATCTTACAAGTTCTCAAAAAAGTGCGCCTAAGAAAGTGTAATCCCTTTTCTGGGGAGGCAATTATAGTAACAAAACAATTCTCATATATACCTTTCTACTAGTGCAGTTACTAACCCCTGTGGTATCTTAGAACACGACTAGAATCGAGTTAGCGCGACTCGCGCGTAGAGGTTGTGCGCTGGTCCTGAGACGTGCATCGTAGAAGCCAGCCCCAATGAAAAAGCTCACAACCCTTGATGAAAATGCACTAAGAGATCTAATATGAGGGGATGCATTTGGTGTCTTAATTAGGATTGGAAATATTATAAGGCAAACATTGTTGGATTCGTGTTGGGAGACAGTATTTACCGCCAGCTACTAACGTTCCTCATGGGACACGAACATCTCGCGACGATCTGAATTAAACCCAAGTTTTTAACACTTATCAAATTTAACGCTCTCCAAATGACCTAAGACTAATTTACCTCGGCCTGAATATATGATGATCGGTACTGCCACGTGTCAGCATAAAATATCAATCGATCCACTTGTCTTATCTTAATATACAAAGTAAAATCGATGATTTCTTCAGTGTCTTAAATGTGAGTACTATCCGAAACAAAAATTTAATACCCATAACGAAACCTTTCTGATCTGAGATGAACTTAGTTGCCACAGCCTGAATCATGGTTATCTGAATACCAGGTATATATACATACGTGCAATTTTCGTCGGAGATCCTCCTCCATTTTGATGTATACGTTTTGATGTCTTTTCAAGATATAAAGGGATTTGCAGTATAATTCATAAAAAACCGTCAGCCATTCGGAGGCGGCTTAGTATAAACTGTAGGTCTCTCCATTTGTTGGGAAAACACCAAGACGTAAGACCCCAAATTAGAGGAGGAGCTCGGCCGAAAATAGCTTCAGCGGTTACAAAGCGCAAATTAAATATTTTATTTCAGGTCCGAAATACACCCGAAGAGCTTTGGTTGGAGCAGGAACACGAGCCGTGCGCATGATACTTCGCACTGATAACTATTTGGCTATGGCGGCCGCCAGGCTTATCGAGGGATACATAACGAAATCGATCATTTCTACAGTGTTTCAAAAGTGAATATTCACCAAGCTCATAACATTGACTGGGACCAATTTCTTGTATCAGCTAAGATGTGTACTCGCCTCTGGGCGGGAAATGCTCGTCCAAAAGTTCTTGGGAATTGTGACGTTGAAAAGAACTTAAGACTAAGGAAGTAGATTGAATGGTTTAAGCATTGCATTGGGGGTTTAGTAAATGTGTGGCATGAGCTTCCTCAACAGTCTTCTACATACCATATACATACTCAAATCTGGCTCTGCGCTACAGTAATTAATATTATGTTTGCCCATACTTCTCAGCAAGAAGCTACAAGGAATTGCATACTTTCAAGGCATTAATTCTTAGCAGCAGAAGAAATATCTAACAACATTTCGCGCAATTAACTTAACTATCTCCTCAACTCTTTTGAATTTTCGCTAAGCATTTATTAGATACTAAGTAAAAATGCAATTCCATGGAACACTCGCAAATGAAGCGAATAGTAAAAAAAATGTTTGAAATTTTATAATGAAAACTGGTTTGCTCATTTTAAATTCTATTTAGTACAATTTGCGAAGACTCGCCGATTTATGGACGAACGACTGTGGCGAGTTAAGTGCCGCCACTGTGGCCAGGTGTACACAAAACATAACGTTTTGATTGCCAAAGTGCACTTAAGCGTTTGCCGCAAGAAATGCCGCCTGAAGAAACAAGAATTACTCATGTACATATGTATTTAGCTGAAGGTGGCTAAGACAAGCCGCGATTTGTTGCTGCCACCTAAACCACCGTGACTAGCGCAGAACTAAAGCGGCAAGCTTATTGGTTGCCAAGTCTTATCTCAATTAAAACACGCAAAAAAAATCTTTGTTAGTGCAGGGAAGGGTGGGCAACAAGTAAAACCTACAACAGTGTAGAGCAACGCAGCTAAACGCTTGGGCTGGGTGGCTCTGATGGACAAGCGAAAAGCTCAGACACAAAGAACTTGAGTTATAATTTGCCTGCTAAGCGTTAGCTTTGGCTTTTCTAGTTAAACAAGATATCTATATATATATATATATCAATATACATAACTTAATATATATATTTATGTACACATATAGATATTATTTGTGTATATTAAATTCGTTTATTTTACGCTCCTTTACCGCGCAGTGGCACTCTTAAGGCGGAGATTAGCTTCAATTAGTTGCTTAAAATTGTGCAACTCGATGCGCAATGCCACTTAGGCGAGCCGGTGAGCTCTCTGTCAAGCTGGTGAACTGGTAACTTGATGTTGCATGCTCGCCTTCATGTTGCATGGCTCAATTTAACGCAATGCCATCAACTTAATTGTCGTAATTATAATGAAAAACAAAAAAAGGATTGACTGCGGTGCTGTAATATCACTGAGCTGGTTGGAGCGAGTTACTTTTATGCAATAAATTCGTAACTATTTATGTACTCGTACGCACTTAAGTGTACTCGTGTATGAGTGTATGAGTATGTGTGTGTTATTTAATTCGAAAAGCACTTACCAGGTGGGCATTTACACTCGTACATTAGACCACTCGATTGACGACATGTGCCGCCGTTCTGACAAGGTGACGGTGCACACGGAATGTATTTGGATTCGCAATTTTTGCCGGTGTAGCCGCCGGGACACATGCATCTGGAGGGAAAGAAAAGAAAAGGAAAAGTTAGCAATGTGTGTGATGATATAATGTATAATAATATTTATATTAACATAAACAAAATTAAAATAAAAAAGGTTAAAAACAACAAAATAAAAATAATGGAATAAATTTTAATAGTTTAAATACATTAAAACAAGTTAAAGGAAAATAAAAGAAAAAATAAAGTTAAAATAAAATAAATGTAAAAAATATAACTAAAAGAAACTAAAAGAAACACAATTAAATAAACCAAAATATAATAAAATTAAATTAATAAAATAACAAGATTTAAAATGAAAATTAAAATATGTAATTAAAAATTAAATAAAGTGAAACGAAATAAAATAAAATAAAAAATTTAATAAACAACAACAAATAATAAAATAAATAAATATAAAACAAAAAAAAAATAAATATTAAACAAAAAAATAAATTTAAAATATATTAGAACAAAATAAAATAAAAAGAAATAAAACAAAATAAAATAACACACAACGAAATAAAATATAAGTAAAATAAAATTAAAAAAAATAGAATTAAATAAAGTAAAACAATATAAAATAAAAAAAATTTAATAAAAACAATTAAAACAAAATAAATTAAAATTTACTAAAATAAAGTAAAATAAATTAAGCACAATAAAAAAAAATAAAGTAAATAAAATAAAATAAAGTGAAATAAAATAAAATAAAGAAATAAAAAAAATAGTTAAAAACAATTAAAAAAAAAAAAGAAAACTAAACAAAATAGGTAAAATTAAATAAAACAAAATAAAATAAAATTAAACAAAATTAAACGAAACATCAAAATAAAATAAAGGTTAAATTCAAAAAAAATCTAAAAACAAAACAAAATGAAAATTAATAAATTAAAAAAAAAACAAATAAAATAGAGTAAAAGTAATTAAATAAATCAATTCAAAATAAAATAAATCAATTAAATAAAAATTAAACAAAATAGAATTAAACCATATTAAATAAACTCAAATAAAATAAAGTGAAATAGTGTATAATAAAAAAAGGAAAATTAAATACACTAAAATAAAAAAATAAAATGGAATTAAATGAGTAAAATAATATCTCATTAACTACAATAAAAATGTTAAATGAGATATAATAAAATAGTATAAATAAAACATAAATAAATTTTAATAAAATAAATTAATATAAAAAAAAATAAATAATAATAAAAAAATAACATATAAATAAAGCAAACTAAGTTAAAGAAAATAAATGCAATGGAAAAAACGTCCATAAAAATAAATTTCAAATAAAAAAAAAATAAAATTCGAATAACATAAATTAGAATAAAAAAATATAATTAAATTAAATAAATATATTAAGTTCAATAAATTAAAACAAAATAAATTAAAATATTAATAAAAAGTTTTAACATTAAGCAACATAAAGGAAAAAAATAATATGTACAGAACCATTTTGAAAAAAATTATATTCATAATCATGTCATCTCAACTCACAATCCCTCGACTCTCAGCACAGAATGTCACAAACAAATTATTGCTGCACTTCCGTTTCCAATTTAAATAAAAACAGACCAGCAAAACCAAAAAAAATATACATTAAAATATTGCAAAGCCAAAAGCAAAATCAAAAACAATTCCAACCATTCTGTAACATGTAACGGATTTATTGCGTGCAATTCCAAAACTCCCAACAACAAATCGCCGCTAATGTAACAACCCATACAAACATCAGCTACCGAACTCCATTAAAAGAGCGAGTTGCAAAAAACAGCAGCTGAGCAAAAAAAAAAAAATGTCATTACATTAGGAACATCTTTAAACACAGCACTGCAACGGCAGCTAACTTCACGATAAAAGTAGTTATGCATGTGCTTATTTCTGCCTGGGCAAGCGTGCAAATTATAGTGCAAGCAACAACAAGCGAAGTGGCAAACCGACCGACCAAGAGCTATTCAACTGACAATGCCAATGTCGGTGGCAATGATGTGCTGATGATGATGATGATGATGCTGATGCGACGCCTGTTTTTGTTGGTAAGCTAATCTGGCTACTGTCATTTACGAAAACGAGCGAAATCACAAAAAACAAGAAAATTTTAAATGCAGTGATTTTTTACCGCAACAGCTGTGCCCATTTTTTTTGTTTTTTTTTTTTGGGTAGAGGCATGCATTTGCTATCTGATAGAGTGCAGTTGCCACTGCATTTTGCACTTTGCTGCTCAAAATGTATCAGTTGGATGGATGGCAACCATTTAGGTAGTCAGACAGTCAGTTAGTGCCAGTAGAGAGGCAGGGAGACAGACGGTGGAGGCTGAGTGCCCACCATTAAAATTACAGAGCAAAACAAGTGCCATGAGGAGTACATATGTACATATATGTATGTTTGAACGTTTATTCATATGAATGTGTGCTTAAAATCTAGGGTTTACACTCGTATCGTATCACAGTGGCCGCCATGATCGTGATCATGCCTCAGTAGCCTTTTGCCAATTGAGGCAAATCTCTCTTCCGTCACTGCTCAGCATGTTGCCTGACTGCCGCATTACCTGCCCGACTTGCTGTCCATCTGTCAGGCACTTTAAACTGCGCCATAAACCCACTATTTGCCACTTTTTTCTACTGCTTTCCTAAGTTGTTCTGTCAGGATGCATATATGCATGTATGCATGAGGTTAAAGAAATTATAGCCTGCCTACGGGTTTGATTTCCGACAGCCGTAGTGCACTTGTCAGTCGTTTTGACAAATACGCAATTAGAATGCGGAACTGGAGCAACAAATCCAGCCATTTGGTAGAAGTGAGATATAGAAAATTATGTGGAAAATGGATTAGAAAACTGTTTAAGTATATAAGTATGTAGAAAAATCGCTATTTTAGTTCTTTTATTTTATTTTATTTTGACGTTGGAAGATAGAAAAAAATAAAATAAAATACAATACAAAAGGCCTACAACGATATAGAACGACGTTATGCAGAGAACATAACTTAATGTTTATTTTTTTTATTTCTGTTTACCTTATATACAAAAATATAATTTCATTACCCATATAAAGTTGCTGTGATTTTTTCTTGCCAATTATTCTGTACACACTGATTCCACAAATTTTTTTGTCTTGTCATTTCTAGATACTTATATATACATATACATGTTTGTATATAAATTACACAAACACACATGCGAGTACTATCCTACCTTCGAAAATCCGCAACCAGAATTTATGTCTATACTAAAAGATTAATGTCGAAAGGAAGTTGTAAACGTAAGCAAACAACCTTAATTTTCAGTGGAAGAGTGAACCAAACAGAAAAACAAAACAAAGAAGAATCCAAAAAATTGAAATAAAATAAAGAAGTAAAAGCGTCGAAATGTATACATGAAGAGGGCTAAGAATTAAAAATAACAAAACATAACAAAATTATTCGTCACATGGGTCGCTTACTCAGTTCGTTTTGTTAGTTATATATATTGACTTTGGTCCGAAATACTTAAGTACCAAAAATAAAAAAGATACACCCAACAAAATGTTTATAGGTCAGGCCTGAATGACGATTTAAGTTGTTTTAGCCATATATCCGCCTGTCTGTCTGTTTCCATACTACTAGACCCTCAGGTTTTAAGCTATTTCAACCAAACCCTGTACACAGACAAAGGTATATTTAAATGATCATGACAGGTCAGTTCAAATCGGACCACTATATTCGACCAAGTTTAAGAGCATGAATGAATTTTGGTATTGTATACACATATATAAAAATAAACATTGTTCCGAAAATTGTTGAACTTGGTGGACATATCATAAACTCATCTTTCAACCAATTTGTTCAGATGTTAGGCTTTTCGTTCAAAATCAATCAAAATTACATCTACAAGCCTGAGACTTGGTGTTTTATATACATATATATAAAAATTAAGTAGTGACACCGAAAATCGTCGAGATTGGAAAACTTCATTATAAACATTTTTCAACAAATGAGATACAATTTCATACAGTTATGAGAGGTGTAAAGACTTTGTCATTGCAGAAGGTAGCTCTGTTTTCTTATTTTGTTTCTGTTTTTGCTTATCTTTGTAGGGGAGTAGTAAATTTTTTGTGATAAACTTGAATAAACAATTTACCAAAAAAATGAGATTTTTTACTAGTATAACTTTGACTGTAATTTACATGAAAATTATATTTTATTTCATTCTATTTCATTTAAATTAGTTTAATTTAATTTAAAATATTCTTTATTTTACTATATTTCGAAATATGTAATATCATTTTATTTATTATTTTATACTATATTATTTTCTTCCATTTTATATTATTTTACTTTACATTATATAATATTATATTATATTATATTATATTATATTATTTTATTTTTTTTAATTGGTTTTAAGTTTCTTTATATATTTTATAACATTTACTTGATGTTATTTTTTTATTTTTATTTAATTTTTTTTATTTCAAATTTTTTATTTTTTCTTTCTTTTATTATATTATTATTATTATTTTAATTTAATATATTTTCCTTTTTAATTTTATTTTTTATAGCTCGTTTAATTATTTTGCTTATTTAATTGTACTTCCTTTAGTTTATTTTATTTTACATTATAATGTTTTATTTTATTTTTTTATTTGGTTTTATTTTATTGTAATTTATTTCCATTTTAATTTGTTTTATTTTATTTTACTTCATTTAATTTTTTCGTTTCATTTTATTTAATATTATTTGATTTTTTTTATTTTTTTATTAAATTTAATTTACATTTTTTTACTTTATTTTTTAATAACTTATTTTATGATATTTTATTTTTTTTTTTAAATTAATTTGTTTTTTTTTTATATTTTTTTAGATTTTATTTTATTTTATTTTATTCTACCATTAATTTTAATTCCATTTTACTTTATTTCATTTTATTTCATTCTATTTGAATTTTATTCTATTGCATATATTTTTATTTTTTTGGTTTTTTTTTTGTTAATTTTGATTTACTTTATTTTCTTATTACATTTACACTTGTTTTTATAA